GGAGAATTCTGCCTTCAGGCTCATGTGGGATACCCTGGGTGCAACCTCCAACCAGGCGCTCCTGAAAGAATGCTGTAGCTAGAGCCTGAACCTTGTCCCTGGCCACTGCCCCTCAGGGCGCTCCTCCTTCCAGGCATTGAGGCTGGACAGCCTGGGGCATGACCTGCTGCAGACACCCAGATTCTGGGGCAGTTGGAGACTCCCCTGCCCATGGACCACCAGGAACCACGTCCAGGCCAGCAGCCAGCGACAGCAAAGCAGAGAGTCCCCAGGCAGTGAGAAGCTCTGTGTGGTTATACTGCATGACAAAGCAATGGGGACATCTTCAACACACTATTGCCATCAGATGGGCTGTGGCATGAGGACAGAATTTCAGACAAGACCTGGTAAAGCAAGAGCAAAAATAGCGGCAGGCACCAAGGGTAGGAACCACCTATGCTCTGAACCTCTTCCCTACAGACAAAAAGGTTCAGCAGTGGAGTGAAAAAATTACCCCACCACCACCAAGACCCTGAGTAGCACTGCTGTCCCAGCCACCACAGAAATAGACAGCCTCGTCCTCGGCTTGGACCCCAGTGATGGTTAACGTGTTTGTGGAGCCGGACAAGGATCCGGAGAATCGCGAAGGGATGCCCGAGGGTCTGTTGGTGTTGTCGTAGATCACAGTGACAGGGCCAGTGCCAGGAACCTTCTGCTGGAACCAGCCATAATAGCTGCTGCTACCCCCTGAGCAGGTGATCCTGACTGTGTCTCCCACGTTGGCTGACAGCGAGGATGGCTGACTCACTGCTGCTGCCTGGACCAGGGAACCTGGAGAGGGAGAGAAGAGAAGGGAGAAGAGGGGGGTCAGTCAGTGTCCCAGGAGAACTTGCCTGGGGAGCAAGGTTACAGGGAATGCCACAGTCACAGGTGATTGGACCCAAACACAGTCACCAATATATTTGAGGAGTAGAGCCCTGGCCAAAACATTTCAGCAGAGAGGCAGCTCTGGCAGCTGCCGGAGGACATGGTCATCAGTAGCAAGAGGCAGTGAGGTGTGGGACACAGCTATACCATGAGTTTTGTAGGGACAAGGACAATGGTCCCCAGCCACAAAGTGATCTCCTGTTTTCTAGGAGAAAAAAGGGAATTTATAGCCATGGTTGTACAGAGGAGACATAAACCTGCTCCAGTCCCACATCCACAACTCTGCTTGGCTGAGAGAAGGAACTGAAGATCTATGTTTTTAATTCCTCTGCACCTCATTTGAAAATCTGTCTTTGTCCCTTCAACACCAGTACTGCTGCTGTCCCTGCTACCACAGAAATAGACAGCCTCATCCTCGGCTTGGACCCCAGTGATGGTTAACATGGCCGAGGAGCCAGATACAGAGCTGGAAAATTGTAAAGGGATGCCTTAGGGTCTCCTGTTATCCCAGTAGATCACAGTGACAGGGGCAGTGCCAGGAACCTTCTGCTGGAACCAGCCATAATAGTTGTTGCTACTCCCAGAGCAGGTGATCCTGACCTTGCCTACCATGTTGGCTGACAGTGAGGATGGCTGACTCAGCAATGCTGCCTGGACCAGGGAACCTGGAGAGGGAGAGAAGAGAGTCAAGAAGAAGGAGATCAATCTGTGCCCCAGGAACACAGCTTTCCCAGAGCAGCACGATGTGGCCCTGTGTGCAGAAGTCCTGTCTAGGCATAGCAAGTCTGGTCATGGCACCTGAGCTGTAGGTGGACACTGTAATGAGAGGAGTAGCCCTGGCTATGGTTCAATTCCACCAGCTCCATGTTCTCATACTTGGTGGGACTGTGCTGTGGATCTTGTCTAGCTTTTAAGCCACCACATGCCTGGGCTGTGGCTCCTCTAGGAAATTCAGACTCTATTCACAAGGCAGAAACATCTGTCAGTACATCTTTCCCCAGTTCCCACTCAGCTTCCTCACTAGGGGATACTTCCCATACCACACTTCAGCTGATGAGAAATACTGCCAGATTTATGGTTACACCTGACATGGAGATGGCCAAATGTCCAGATGGCATAACAGGGTACTGTTCCTTCCAGGGATCTCTAAACCCAAGGGCCTCTATCTGCAAAACCATTCCTGTAAACTGCAATTCTCAAACCTCAGTCATTCCTCAGAAACAGCATGTCCCAGCATCCATGGTCAACAACAACAACCATCCTGCAGGGTGCCACAATCCTGACCAGCACTGCTGTCCCAGCCACCACAGAAATAGACAGCCTTATCCTCGTCTGGGACCCCAGTGATGGTTAATGTGTCCCCAGAGCCGGAGAATCGTGAAGGGATGCCCGAGGGTCTCACATCATTGTAGTAGATCACAGTGACAGGGCCACTGCCTTCTGCTGGAACCAGCCATAGCCATATCTGCTGCTACCTGCAGAGCAGGAGATCCTGACAGCCACTTCCATGCTGGCTGGCAGTGAGGATGGCTGCGGATTCAGCGCTCCCTGGACCAGCGCATGTGGGAAAGTAGAGAAGAGAGGAGACAAGAGTGGAGCCAGACAGTCAGAAAGAGCACAGACCTTCCTGGACAAGGTTACAGGGAATGCAACAGTCATGGACAGAACACAAAGGGACATGGTCACAGGCACATTCCAGGAGCAGAGCCCAGCCCATTGCAGAAGAGCTGCACAGAAGCAGTTTTGGCAGCACATGAGGACATGGCCATCTGTAGCAAGAGGTTGTGAGGGACACAGATACACAAAGAGCTGCCAGGAAGTAGAAGGGCCAAAATCTTTCCTCTGCATTTTGAGTCTCTGTCACTTTCTCTTACTCAAGGTTACAACACACCATAGCTGCTGCCACTGCTGCTGTCCCAGCTACCACAGAAATAGACAGCCTCGTCCTCGGCTTGGACCCCAGTGATGGTTAACGTGGCCGAGGAGCCGGACTGGGATCCGGAGAATCGCGAAGGGATGCCCGAGGGTCTGTTGTCATTGAGGTAGATCACTACCTCAATGGTAGGGATCTTCTGCTGGTACCAACCATAGTTGCTGCTGCTACCAGTGCAGGTGATCCTGACCGTGTCTCCCACGTTGGCTGACAGCGAGGATGGCTGCTGAGTCACTGCTGCCTGGACCAGGGAACCTGGAGAGGGAGAGAAGAGAGGGGAGATGACAGCTTCAGTCAGTGTCCCAGGAGCACAGACCTGCCATGGCAGCAGAATGGGGTCCCTGTGCCCAAAGGCCCCATCCAGGCTCAGCGAGTCTGGCCATATCACCTGTGCTTTGGGCGAGCACCACGAGGAGGAGAAGGGCCCAGGCCATGGTTCAATCCCACCAGCTCAGCGTCCTCACACTGACGGCTCTGTGCTGTGGGCCTTGACCTGCTTTTAAGCCCCTACTTTCTCAGGCACAGGCCCTCCATGGATATGTGGCATCCAATGCTCCCTGGAGCTCCTGTGCCAGTGTTCCCTTTGCCCAGTGCAGGCACCTCTGTCCCACCAAATGGCAGCAAGATTGGTCTGGGTTGCTTCCTCCTTCGACAGCATGACTGCTGAGCTCTCAGATCAGCTGGAGAACAACCCAAACTTGTTCCTGCCCAGTAGGACCATGACCTTCCTGCACATGTCCTGCTTCAATTGAGAGTGCCACCCTGGGCTTCTCTGAATTGCCACAAGGGAAGAGCAGAACAGAGAAATGGAGCTTTGAAAGGGAATGGGAACCACACCAAGAGCAGGAGCTTCAAGGCTCCACAACACTAAAGAAAATCAAGGCCCCAGTTCCTCCAAACTGAAAGTGAGCTGAGGGTCTCCAGCAGCTTTGCAGCAGCTGTGGGTAGAGCTGGGCTGGTGTTTGTAGCAATCACGAGCACGTAGCACCTGCACTCTTGTGCAGCCAGGGAGAGCCCCTCCGCCTCCTGCGCCCAGCACGGCCCAGGGCGGCCGCCGAAGGAGCCTGCAGGGCTGCTCTGAACCTCGCCGGCACAGGCTGGCACCTGGCTGGCCACAGCCCCTCTGCCTCCTGCCCGCCCCGTGAGCCCCAGGACTGTGCAGTGGAGCCACACTGACACCGTGTGGGGACAAGAAGGGCCTCAGGGACAGCACTGCAGGAACTGAGAGCAGAGCCCGGCACAGGGCTCTGCCCTTGCTGCCTCTCACCTCTGCCACGGCTTCCACGAGGTCCAGAGATTCCTCCGGGCCTGGCCGCAAGCATCAGGGTTTCTGTATGGCACCCTGCCCGCGGCAGCTTGTGCTCACAGAGGAGAGCCTCTCACACAGACACAGGTCACAGAGGAGAGCCTCTCACACAGACACAGGGTCCTTTGGCACAGTTGCTGTCACCAGAGATGAGCTGGCATCAGCCCTACACTGGCAGGGGCCAGAATGTCCAGAGACCATGACAAGGAGTGTCCCAGCTCCTCTGAGTAACCACAGGACAGGACATTTTGAGGGCCGGAACAAGTAGCCCCACTACAGGTCTTCACTTCCAGGATCCATGTCATTTCAATGTCCTCCAGCACCGCTGAGAGTGTCTTTGCACTATGACAGATCACAGCAGCACTGTTAGGGACCTTCTGCTGGAACCCAGCACAGCCACCCCTATCTTCAGTGCAGGAGATCTTGATGGTTTCTCCCAGACTGGCTGACACCTTGGATGGTTGACTCAGAGATGCTGCCTGGGCCAGGGACTGTGGCTGCCTGGGCCAGGGACTGTGGAGAAGGATAAGAGAGTGGACAACAGGAGTTTCACACAGTATTCCAGGAACATGGCCATCTCCTGGGCAGGAGGATCAGGAATTTCACACTCAGAGGAGAATGGGTGCAACTACAGCCACTAGTGAATTGGGGAGCAGAGCCAAGCCAAATGTACCCCAAGGCATCTCAGCACATCTCCTCTGCCAGCAGGAGGAGAATGTGGTCAGTAGCATCATCAGTAGCAAGAGGCAGTGGGATGGGGAATAGACAAAGCCACACCATGAGTTTTGTAGGGACCAAGACAATGATCCCCAGTCCCAAGTTCATCTCCAGTGCTCTAGGACACAAAAGTGGGGACATTTATAGTCATGGTCATGCAGGGGAGACAAAAGTCTGCCCCAGGCTCACATCTACCACTCTTCTTGGCGATGAGAAGAACAGTAAAATGCCATTTTTATTTCCTCTATGTATCCTTTGAAAATCTGTCATTTTCATTACACTAACATAGCTGCCACTGCTGCTGTCATAGCCACCACAGAAATAGACAGCCTCGTCCTCGGCTTGGACCCCAGTGATGGTTAATGTGCCCCCAGAGCCGGAGAATCGCGAAGGGATGCCCGAGGGTCTCCTGTCATTGTAGTAGATCACAGTGACAGGGCCAGTGCCAGGGACCTTCTGCTGATACCAGCCATAGCTGTTGCTGCTACCAGTGCAGGTGATCCTGACTGTGTCTCCCACGTTGGCTGACAGCGAGGATGGCTGCTGAGTCACTGCTGCCTGGACCAGGGAACCTGGAGAGGGAGAGAAAAGAGGGGAGAAGACAGGGGTCAGTCAGTGTCCCAGGAGCACAGACCTGCCATGGCAGCAGGATGGGGCCCCTGTTCCCAAAGGCTCCAAGATGCCATGGAGTGGCCCGACAATGCACACAAAACACAGGGCATGAGAGTGCCTCCACTGTGCTGACCAGCATTGCTGCCGTCATTGTTACCACAGAAATAGACAGCCTCACCCTCGGCTTGGACCCCAGTGATGGTTAACGTGTTTGTGGAGCCGGACCTGGATCCAGAGAATCGCGAAGGGATGCCTGAGGGTCTCTTGTTATCTTTATAGATCACAGTGACAGGGCCAGTGCCAGGAACCTTCTGCTGGAACCAACTAAAGCCAAAGATGCTGTTACCTCCAGAGCAGGTGATCCTGACCGTGTCTCCCACGTTGGCTGACAGCGAGGATGGCTGACTCAGTGATGCTGCCTGGACCAGAGAACCTGGAGAGGGAGAGAAGAGAGGGAAGAAGAGGAAGGTCAGTCAGTGCCCCAGGGGCTATGGCAGCAGGACAGGGCTCCTGTGCCCAAAGGCCCCAAGATATAATGGAGAGGCCCAGATTCACAGACAGATCCCAAGGCATGAGGGTCCTGTAGGGAGAAGTGGCAGCAGCAGGAGGAGAGGGAGAATGCTGGAGTCTGTGCCTCCGCTATGCTGACCAGCACTGCTGCCGTCATAGCCACAGAAATAGACAGCCTCATCTTTGGCTTGGACCCCAGTGATGGTTAATGTGCCTGTGGAGCCAGACTTGGATCCGGAGAATCGCGAAGGGATGCCCGAGGGTCTCCTGTCATTCCAGTAGATCACAGTGACAGGGCCAGTGCCAGGGACCTTCTGCTGATACCAGCCACAGGTGCCATAGCTAACCCCTGAGCAGGTGATCCTGACCATGTCTCCCACATTGGCTGACATTGACGATTGCTGACTTAGCGATGCTGCCTGGACCAGGGAACCTGGAGAGGAGAGAAAGAAGGGAGAAGAGGGAAGTCAGTCAGACTCTCAGGAGCACAGACTTCCTTAGAAAAGATGAAAGGAAATGCAACAATCACGGTCAGAACAGACAGGGACAAGATCACAGGCACATTTGAGGAGAAGAGCCCAGCCCATTGTAGAATATCTGCACAGAAGAAGTTCTTGCAGTACAGAAGGACATGGTCATCAATATCAAGAGGCTGTGGGTGACACAGCTACACCAAGATCTTTGTAGGGAACAGGACATGAATGGGCCCCAGCTGCACAGTCACCTCCTGATCTTTACAACATCAAAGAGAGGACATTCCATGCTGTAGACATGAAGAAGGGATAGGAATATGCCTCAGCAACATATCCAGCCAGGAGGGAGAAGGGCCATAATCTTTCCTCTGGTTTTGGAGTCTGTCTCACTTCCTGGTACTCATTGTCACCACACACCATAGCTGCCACTGCTGCTGTCATAGCTACCACAGAAATAGACAGCCTCGTCCTCAGCTTGGACCCCAGTGATGGTTAACGTGCTCGTGGTGCCGGATGTGGATCCGGAGAATCGCGAAGGGATGCCCGAGGGTCTCTTGTCATTAGCATAGATCACAGTGACAGGGCCAGTGCCAGGGACCTTCTGCTGGAACCAGCCAGCATAAGCATAGCTGCTGCTAAGTCCAGAGCAGGTGATCCTGACCGTGTCTCCCACGTTGGCTGACAGCGAGGATGGCTGCTGAGTCACTGCTGCCTGGACCAGGGAACCTGGAGAAGGAGAGAAGAGAGGGGAGATGACAGCTTCAGTCAATGTCCCAGGAGCACAGACCTGCCATGGCAGCAGAATGGGGTCCCTGTGCCCAAAGGCCCCATCCAGGCTCAGCGAGTCTGGCCATGGCACCTGAGTTGTGGGTGAGCACCACGAGGAGAGGAGGGGCCCAGGCCACAGAGTGATCCCATGAGCTTCATTACTTCACACTGATGGGGATGTGCTGTGGCACCCAACACCTTCTTATATGCCTGACTGTCACAGGCCCTCCATATAAATGTGTCCTCCAACATTTACTGACAGCTCCTATCCCACTTCTCCCACTCTTTCTTTTCCACCAATACAGAAGATCTCTCCAGGCCATCTTCTCCCTTGGGCACTCAGCTGGGAAAAGCAGGTCCTGCTCCAAGCCAGGACACCAGGAGCCGGTGTCCCTCAGGAACCACAGCACTATGCTCAGATGGATTGAGGTGTATGGGCAAAGGCCCCTCTGCCTTAGCCAAGATCCATGTCAAGGGATGGCAGGAACATTTTCTATCCTGCCTTGCCATTGCATCCTCTGCTGCCACTTTCACCAAGCCTGTGACCCTGGTGTCATCCATCCACTGTGCATTCCCTGAGGCAGCTCAGCTCTTCCAGCCACTTCCTTCCCACACAGGGGCTTCTGCACAGGGGTCTGCACCTGCAGCTTCCCCAGCCAAGCTCATGGTCCCCCACCAGTGCTGAGGTGCCACAACACCCCCACTGCAGGCGCTGCCCCAGCACCAGTGAATCTCTCCCTTGTCAGCAGCACCAAAGGGAACAGAAGGTCTCTGCATCCTGAAGCTCCCGGAGCATGAGGGCAAGTTCCCAGCCTGGCCAGCCCCACACACCAGTTTAACAATGTCCTTGTGCGTGAAGTAATTACAATTACAATTACAAGTAATTACATCAGAATATCAGAATATGGTGCAAGTCCTCTTTTGAGGACAGCTGTATTGCATGAGCTCAGCTTAATTCAGGATGCTTTTGATTTGCTGTTGGACAGACTTGACATACTCTGGAATTGTTGCCTGATCAGAATGACACTACAACCACCTTGGTTCTCCCACAGTTGCTCTTAGCTCTCTAAACTGCAGTTTCAACTTTCTCCCTCTAAAGACCGCACAAGACAGAAAAGGTGGGTAGAGAACCTGTAAAATGCTGACTAAATTTCTGCTCCTCCTGCAAAGCCCAAGTGCCAGACTAAACTGGGCTGTTCCTGTCTATATGTAGAGCCTCATTTCTCTTGTTTGTATCCCATTCATTTCCCCATGGTTTTGGCTTCGTGTATGCTTTCTTAAAAGAAAATTAAATAAAAATATAGATGAAAACCTACAGAGGTGTTGAAGATAAAAACCACAAAAAACAAAGTGGTGGAGTATCCTGCTGCAAAAGATCTGTAGAATGCCATTGCAATCACGAATGGTATAAACAAGAAGTAGTATCAATCATCAGATAAAACCCGTTTGCATTGTTTTTGTTCTTTCCCAGAAGTCATCAAGTGAAATAATGGTTCCATAAGCAGATTGTCTTGAGATCTTTAGCATAAGCAGTTTATCCAACTGCAACTCTATCTCCCCTTTGCTGCCATCCTGTGGCAACTTGCTGCAGCAGCGTGAGGCTGCAGTGTGAAATGCTGTCTTCAGAGGGTAGCAGAGGTTGCATCTCTTTTCAGTGTTAAATAGATTCTTCACCCCTTTCCAGCACTTCATAATAATTTTCCCTAGGGAAGGCCATCAGCTTAGTCTATCATATCATTCCTGCTGAGATGTATTCCAGCACTTCATGTGTTTGCACCACAGCTGATGAGGTCAAGATGCTGATGGCTTGGTCTTGCTTTCTTTTCCAACTTGGTATTAATTCCTTAGCAGGTAATACCACTGTGTGAAGCAGTAATTTTCAGAAGTCATAAGAACCAATGTGATTTGGAGAACTTTATGGGAATTCCTGGCCCTTTTCTCTCCTAGAAAAAGAAGTGTATTGTGACCTTTGCCCATTCAATGGGACAGAAACTGCATCCTCCTTCCTTGGTAGTGCTGTTCAACTAGTGTCTGTACTACACGTTAAACCATTAAAAATTCGTGTTCCAAAAGATTGCCTCTTCTCATGTCTTTGAACTACAAAGCAACTGTACCAAAATGTAAGTTTGAAGAATGCAGTGGGTCAGAGAAGGACTTGAATATGTGTAAAAAAGACAAGCAAGTAGAGGCAAACAGAAAATTTGTTTCATTTTAATCTAAGAAAAGAGCATGCTTCTATCAATGATTAACAGGAAAATCAAGCCCTTTGCAAAAGTGGATCGAGCAGGGGAAGGAATGCAAATGATTGCTTCATGTTGGGAAGATATGATAAGAAATGCCAAAATCTGTGCTTCCTGATAATACTACTATGTGGTTTAAGTGATGTCCATCCCTCTTGCAAAAAAGCCTGGTGATTCTGGTGTGTCTGATATCTCTTATTTGTCAGCTGAGAGACTGGGCTGGTTGATGTGTGTTTGGCAGCAGATTTAATGAGAGCACCTGATGGAGAAGAAGCTCTTATCTGCACTGAGGTCAGTGCTGGGGATAATTGGATGGGTTCTATACTGCCTGATTTCTGTAGTTTACAAGAATATTAATGCTAGTGAAAAATGGTAGCAGCTGAGGATGCTGTAATGTAATGAGGAACAGGTGTAGAATTTAGCTGTATCAATTTTGAAACAGCAATCTGTGGCAGAAAGGGAAGGTTCTAACTGCCGGCTTTGCTGAATTTTAACTTGAACCACTGGCCTTGAAAGAACCCACTACTGCTTCACATAGTGGTGGTACATAGAGAACTGGATAAAAATCCTTCCTGTCAGGGGCTGGAGTGCTGAAATGCAGACCTCTGAGCTGAGGCCACCACTGATGGTCGATGAGTTGGCCTTGTGTTTTCTGCATTCTCAGAATCTCTCTCATTGCAGTGGTAGTTCTTTATCACCAGGCTCTGATTACTTGGAGAACTTTCTAACAAACTATACTGGGAGTCAATTTCTGAATATAAAGCACTAAAGCACAGCAAATCCTAAACATGGATCTTTGTTTTGATATTCTTTTAAAAAGCATTTTTTTAAAAATTTCCCTCATAATTTAGCTGGATGGGTTTGAGCTGTAGGATTTGTTCTGCCTTGTGCTAGTCACTTAACTGCAAACACTGTTTATTCTTGTACCTAGCACCATAATGTGATATTTGTTCTTCAGTTCAATTCTAGTCAAGGAGGGGTGGGGGAGGAGGTGAAAAAGAATTTTCTAACTCAGCAAGTTCCACAAAAGATGGAGTTCAGCAAATTATCAGTGCTTTAATAACAGCCTTCTGCATTTCTTTACAACCCGAGGCAAACAACTAACTATATGCAGAGGGGAAATGCCAACTTCAAAACCTGCAGGGAATGATGGGAAAGTACTTAGTTCTTAATTTTTGATCCGTGTCTAATTAAACAGGCAGCTCTATCTAATACTTTTGGTCAATTACGGTCTGACTTGTAGCAACATGCACATTGTCTACATGATGTTTTCCATTTTGAGGTAGTTGTGTGGCCACAGATTTTTCTTAGAAATCATGGGTTTGGTAGACTAGAAGTATATGTCTTAAGAATTCTCAGGACACCTTCAGACTGAAGCATGTTTGTTTCTGTGGTCTGCTGTTTCAGCTATGGTAAAATAACAGAAACATGCAGAGTAGAGAAAATGAAATTAATTCTGACTGAAATCTTGCCTCACAGAAGCTTTTCTATGAAGTATTTTGATTAAGGAGGTAGAAGACCACAAACTATAGTTGCAAATAGAATGGGAGGCAAGTGTTAGGTTTTCCATGGATGATATGATCTGTTTCTACTGGTAATAGCTGAAATGAAGACTAGCACTTGACTTCTTGGCAATGTGATGGAAGCTTCCAATAAAACCCAGCTCTCATTTATCCCATACGTATTCCATCTCTCTGCATGCACCTACAGAGTAAGGCTCACTAATAGGAATCAAAGTAAATGGGAATTCTATATCCATTTCCTGTATTTTGTTCCTTTCCTTCCCAAAATGTGTTTAGATTTTAAACTTCTCAGAGCAAAAAGACAACATTTGTAGTTCCTACAACTTACAACCATGGCCTCACCCGGAGTTTTTAATGTACCTGTTGATATGAATAGTACCTGCCTTACACAGATATGAAATGTTGCCATTTGAAGAAGTGGGACAAGGTTGGATATAAATCACAAGTGTGACATATTTGTTTAAACACTGAAAAAAAAGTAGCATTATTGACGTTATCGTGTGCATAAAATGCATCATTCAGGTATGTGAGATGACACTTGATGGTTTATCCACATCTTCAAACAGAAAAGTGTAGATTAGCTGCAAACTACAGTTACAGACCTGTTTGGTAATAAAAGCTGCACTGTCTAAGGAAATAAACATGTTCATACTTGGATGAGCAGGGTCCTAATTTATCTAAATCACCGATGCCTTAAAAATACACATTCAAGTAAAAAATTCCAATCCTCTGTAGCAGCAAATGCATACAAAAGTATGAGTAAGTAAGTATGAGTAAGCAAATGTGAAATACCTCTTCTGATGTATTTTTGTCTGTTCAACTACAAGCTCACCTCAAATAACATCTTAGCTGGTGTAGCAACCAGGAGCTGCCAGCAGAGGTTACCACAGCCTTTGGAGAAAGGCTGGTTTCGTCCATGGAACTGGGCTGGCACAAGGCTCCTGGAGCTGGATTCTCTTTGGTGAAAGACTACAAGACACGAGTCATAACATTGCTTGGAAAAAGTATGGAGAATGTGTCTGGAATTCCTCCTGCACTTTTTCCCTGGCTACCTAAAATGACCTACAAAATAAACTTGTCTGTGAGAACTGCCTGGGTTTTAAACCTCTTGGGTAATCCTGTGTGCTAATGTGGGAAAAGAGATGTGACAGAGGGGTAGCCTCATTGATAACTGAGGAGTAGTAGTAATAATAATAATAATAATAATAATAATAATAATAATAATAATCTCAGCCCAAGTGAGGCCACATCTGGAGTATTGTGTTCTATTCTCGTCTCTGCAGTTCAAGAAAGACAAGGAATTACTCTAGAGGGTCCAGGGCAGGCCACAAAGATGAAGAGGGGTCTGGAGCTGCTTCCTTATGAGGAGACACTGAGGGAACTGGGCCTTTTTAGTCTACAGAAGACTGAGAGAGGATCTCATTAATGCATATAAATGTCCCCAGGGGATGTCAGAGGATGGTGCCAGACTCTTTTCAGTGGTGCCTAGTGTTAGGCAAAGAAGCAATGGCCATAAAATAAAACACAAGAGGTTCCATCCCAACATAAGGAAGGAGTTCTTTCCATGGAAGGTGGCAGAGCACTGGAACAGCTGCCCAGGGAGCCTGGAGTCTGTCTCTCTGGACGCATTCCAAACCCACCTGGACACCTTGTGTCAGCTGCTCCAGACGACCCTGCCTGGGCAGGGTGGGTTGGAGTGGGTGATCTCTTCTCAACTTTTTATTCAGTGATTCTTTGAACAGCAACAATAATAGTAATAATAATTATTACAATACCCCTGAGCCTCAAAGTAGGGGTAGGAATTGGATAGATTTGCCCAGCAGCTGCTGTCTGGGCTGTGATGGTACCTCTCCTCATATCTGATGAGGCACTGTAGTGCACCCTGTAGGTACTTGGGGTCCTTCCCGCCTTTTTTCCCCCTCATGTACCCCCAGCCCCATTTCCCATCTTTCTTTTTGTCACGCATCCCAAATCAAACTAGATTCCTGCCTTTTTCTCCTCATGCACCCCTGGCCCTCATTTCCCACTTTTATCCTCCCATGCATCCCTAGGTCCATTTCCCGCCTTTTTCCCCTCACACATTCCTGGGTCCATTTCCCGCCTTTTTCCCCTCACACATTCCTGGGTCCATTTCCCGCCTTTTTCCCCTCATGCACCCACAGCCCCCATGACCTGCCTGGTGTGGGGCTGCTGTGACGAACTCATTGTGGGACGAGGCTGTCAGACAGGATGGACCGTGTCACCATCGGAGTGGTGTCCTGTGGCTCACAGAGTTCCATGGCTGCGCCAAGACTGTGGCCAGGGCTTGAAGTGGCCCGTGGCCCACCAGGGATTGCTGAGGTGAGGCTGAGGGAGGCGGCAGCCATGCCATGCTGAGGTGCTGCCTTGTCCCTGTCCCATCTGTAGCTTTGCTTACACTTCCCCTCACTGCCTGCAGCCCAACAAGCCTGCTGTGGGTTCATGTTTGGCAAAAAGGCCGTGTTATAATGTGTATTTAAGTGTTAACCTCCATGTGGGACTTAGAACCGGCCCTGCTCTGTGGGACGGGCCCAGCTCCTCAGCCTGACTTTACTTTTCCCAGCCCCTCATGGATGTAAATTTGCTATTAAACCTCCTGCCACCCCTAAACCTACTTTCATTTTCGTCCTCTCAGCTTACTGAATGTTTTAGTTTCTCTTTTACTATGCTCCTTTCCTCAGACCCCTCTGTCTGTTCTCCCTTCCCCTGCTTTGCCTTAGCTCTGTCTCAGCTGTAGTTACTGAAGGCTGAAACATGTAGTGGGAATTCTCCCTCCTAGAGATAATGTTGCTTTTTAAAGAAAAGCACCCCTATCAAAAGCTTTTGATAAAAGAGGGCATCTCTCCTTTTTTCCCCCCCCGCTCAATTTCTCTTCACCCCCACATGAATCTGGTGCTACCATTATCTCAGTCCACCTTTACTTTGTATATTTCTGCATAATTTCATACTGTCAGTTGCAATCTGTGTTAAAAACTCACTCATCCAAAATTTCAGGAGAGGAAGCTTGTGTTTCTGCCCACCGGTGCCATCCACTGGGCTGTGAAACCAGAGTATGAACTTTCCCATTTGTCCCTAAAAACTCAGCTCTTGGCCTGGATTCCACTAAGCAAAAGCATCCCAAATATATGGATTTTGCTTTGATAAACATGCATTTACTTTTTCAGCCACAGGAGTTCTAAATCTACTTGAAAGTTACTGAAAACTCCTATGTTGCTAAAGAAAGCATTTGTCCTCATTCCAATACCCCAGCCTGCTGCCAGCAGCAGATGAGGCTTGCTTGCAGGAGATAAATGCTTTATGGAAAGGTGTACCTGCTATCTGATCTGAATCTTTACTGTGATAAGTTTATATTTAGAACTTTTTATAATACCAAAATAGCACCAGCATCAGTTAAGCTTTTATTTTTTTCTTTAGTAGGTACTTAAAATTTTGTTTTTATCTCTAAATGAGCCCAAGTAAGTTGTGCTCACCTTCATCTTGATGCATGGAAACCCAGCCCTATGCTGAAAAGTAATTATTACATATATATATATAAACAATGTTCTCCTGCTTTGCTTAATGATGTCTGGGAAGACTAGCTCTCAGTGCTCAACAGGCTTTCTTCCTGCTATTTTTAAAATTCAGGTTGGGTTCTCCCTGTATCTTTTATATTATTGTGTTTAAAAGCTTGGTAGGTGGAAGTGAAATGATTTACTGCTGATACATGAACTCAAACAGCAATGTTGAACGTTCAGAGTTCTAACATTAATTCAGCAATTGTGTGCCAGGTCCTCTCCTAAAATCATATTAAATTTAAAAATAGCTGAGAATGTGCTTGTTTATCATCTGAAGATGGACCAATGAAGTTTCAAAGTCCTGATCTCCTCTTTACAATTGTAGATGTTGAATTTTTCTTTCTTGTGTAAAACTACATAACTATCTTACTCCAGCAGCTGCAGAAAAAAAAAAAAAAGCCATGAATGTTCTCAGACCCATGAAAACATTGTGGGAGTTGGTGACTGACAGCGACTGCAAGACGAGTGAAATAAAAATCAGACTTCAACCTGTGGTGTCTGAGTTGTTTCTGATTATGAAAAGGAAATGCATTCAGGTTTGAGGGTGTTTTTGGTACACAAGTAATACTCAGCTACAGGGGATGTATTAAGAAGCTGTAATTTTTTTAAGTCAGTATTTCAGATCCCAAGTCCTGCAGCTTAAAAATGGTGCAGTTGTGGGTGAGTGGAATTCCTTTGAAATTTATTAAGTTCTGTAAGCTGGGTAAAGACTGAGAGCTTTGGACCATTCAGGATTCTCCCTGGCTTCCTGCCAGCTGGCTTGCAGGTAAGTTCCATGTAAAGATCTGATATATTCTGTCCTCAAACCCAGAGTTTGCTGCTGAAATGCTGCAAGAGGCCGGGCTATTACAACAAATTAAGCTATCTATTTGTGAACATTTTGTGATGTTACACTGTATGCACTTGTCACAGTGCTGCCATATCAAGGTTAGAGTGAGAAGGTGACTAGCTGGCAGTCACTTAATCAAAGGGAGCTGTTGATGTCTCAGGTAGCCCAGGCAGGGTGAGGCTTGCATGCTCCGTTGCTTTTAACAGCCAGATAATGAATATGCTTTCCAGAATCTCTGTTTCTCATAGGGGAAGCAGCAGCTGCCTGTGATCTGTGTCACTGTCAAAGGAAAGTGAGATGTAGTTAATTCAGGGCTACACAACAAAGACATATTGATCAGGGCTCTTCTGGCTCTTGTTGGATTTCTGCAATAACAATGACTAGGACAATGCAGCAAGCCAGGATGGCAAACCCAAATATGCTTTGTCTTACCCAAAAAAGCATGAGTTCTTGCCACCAAGATCTGCTGCTGGGCATCAGCAGGTTCAGAGAAATTCTGCTCCAGAGGTTCAGTAAGACACTGAAATCAAGTGAAAAGGGCACATCTTACTCACGTCATTATAAATGCACTTCATTTGTGGCTATAAGTAAAATTCATAGATTCACTACAAATAGCATGCAGTACACAAGTTCCACATGATTTAAAAAAAACCAACCAACCCTGTGTTTATGGTATCTGGATAAAGTCATACAGAGCTGCTTACTGAGGTACTGCATGTTGCAAGAATTATATAGAGTTAATGTATATATTATGTTTCCTCTGTTCCTGCTCTACTAGTAGGACTTGGATGTGGATGATTATGTGCTATATATTTACTTAAGTATTGCAGCATATTTTTTATTGCCAAGCTAAAAATCCTTGTTTTGTAATATAAATCTGTAATTACTATTTTTATTTCTGCAGAGTTACCCAACTCATTGTCTGTCTTCCCACTTTTTTTTCCCTGTTACTTCCCCTAATAGCTGTGTCTGCTTTTCTTTTGTTCACGTGTTGTGCAGAAGAAAAATGGGCACTAACAGGTTTGCTAATTACTATAAAAATCTTCCCAGCCTTGTTCAGTTCAGATCATTCTATTAGCTAAAGTAATGGCGTGCAGTGGCACAATGGTCCTCTCACTTTTCATTGTCTGGGGTCTTTCTGGTGCAATATATTATTGGGATTGTATTCTAGAGCTGTCACAATAGCTTTTGATTTCCCATACCTGCTGTTTTGTTTTATCTCAACATTCCTTTTTTTACTAGTACTTAATTCTCCTTATCCTTCCTAAATGACTTTTAAGGGCACAGGACTGTTTGCCCCCTGCTTCCTCAGTTTTTTCCTGGGAATCAATAAGGCTGAGGATTGTTGTGCTCAGTGCCTTGCAGATGGACCTGTGTCCAGTGTCAGGGTGTTCACATCACTGCAACAGCTCCTGGCAGTTTAGAGCTGTACTATTTTACCTAAAGGCACGGTCTTTACCCTCACCACATCATTTTGCTCTTGACACCTATTTTTCATTACCTATCAGCATTGTCAATGTCATCTTCCTCACCAGTATTTACAGCAGCAGACTTTTGTCTCATCACTCTGATTATATTAGCTCCAGTGATTGTACTTTCACCTCATTACTGAAATAAAGTTAACATTAATGAGAGTCATGCAGCTAAACCTCTGCTCACCTCTCCGGAAATTTATTCTAATGATGAAAAGAAGATGCATGTGGATCTATTTGAAAGCAAGCCAGCTTTTCTCCCCACCCCCAGCTAGCTACCTACCAAATTCATGTTAGATAAAATTTTTTGTTATTAAGAGCTGATGATGCAAAAGAAGCCAAATACATTATACAACATTAACAAGGAAAAATGTGATGGATTGAACACTGATTTATGTACTGGTCTGCTACAGAGTTCCTTTATGACCTAAATTTCTTTGTTCCTGCTGCTTCAGGAAAGGGTTTTCTCATATCTGACTCTCACAGTAAATTAGCCATAAAGCACTTGGAAGTCCTAAGGGGTGTGCTAGGAAAGTTCAAGATATTATCAAGGGTAACAGTAATAGCACTTCTAAACAAGATGAAGCATTGAGAGGTAGAAATTGTCTATAGAAACACAGCAAGGCTTTGAGCCTAAAGAAGAAATATAATTAAGATAAGCAAAGTTCATGAGATAAATGTACATGCTGCATGTGCCAAGCAAGGGGGCTCAAGAGATCTTTTACTGATCAGAATTTGGATTTGCAATCAGACCAGTCCTTTTACCACTGGTCACTGCTAGGGAAGCCATATGAGTATAGAGAGTTTTTTTGTGTTTTCCTTTGTTTGCTTGTTAGTTAAGGTTAGAGAATAAGAATTCACTTTTTATTAAAAATTCATTTTTTATTAATCCTTCTTACAAGCAGCTGCTGTGACATGGCTTTAGTTCTTTCTGAGGCCACTGCCTACTCCAGCAACACAGGTTACCTAGAAGGATAGTAATATTGAGTGAAAGGAATACAGCCTTGGAGTCAATCTAATTGTTTGAAGTTTTCCTTAAATTTTACCCCTT